TCCAGACTTTTAGCAGACAATTCTACAGGCAGAAATGTGTCGGAAGCAAGTGCAATTATGAGGGTAAAAAAAAAGAATTGTCTAGAGAACTCTTACATTTAAAGGGAAGGAAGTGGTTGCTTCCCTTCGTGGGGGTTCTTGTTTTTCATAAACTCCAGCACGCAAGCAATACATTAAACTCACACGCCTTTTTCCAAAACAGGCTTTGTAATTTTATTGAAAGCTTTTGCTCTGATCAGTATGTCTGTCTGTGTGTCTGTCTGTCTGTAAATCTGTCAGTGTGTTTGTGATCACATATTGTAACTCTATTTCACCCCTTTTATGATGCGCCATTTTTCCTTTCCAACTTTTCAGACGGACACATTTATAAAGATAACGCGAGAATTTCTAATTCATTTTAATCTAATTGGATATTAAATTATGTATTAAATTAAATTCAAATGTGATAATATTCATTAACAAGAGGAGAGATAACTAGAGGATAAGACTATAAAATACGTCAGATAAAAATAAGTTTTCAAATAAACTAACTTGGTTTTTGTAATGAAATCATTGGACGCTCATGACATATTTCAACAACCAATGCTTTTATTAATGCAAGCATGTTTGTTTTATTTTATTATTTTCGGTACATTTAAAAGCCTATTATTATTGTAGTTTTTCTTGCAATTTGTTTTATTTTCCAGTTTTTACCAATTCATTCAAAATGCAGTTTCGTCAAAACCCCAATAGTTAACTTGCGATCTCTAAAAGACAGCTATCCGTCCCTTCTTAGACCGTATCACAGCTAAGGTAAAAAAAAATCAAGCACATAAAAATATCAAACTTGATTCCGAAACAAAACATTCGCAGTTGATAGGAGTTTTCATGGAAATGATTAATGCTCATACACTGTCATACACTGGGTAATGGGGTATCCTGACTCCCATCAGCTAGCTTTATAGGAATGATGTGTACCCATCTAAGATGTGTCTACCTTCAGGAATTATTCTTACGTAATTTGTTATTATAGAAAAGATTAGCAACACCAATTACGTCTTTAGAATTACTGTACCATGTAAAAAAAGGCATTCTCCCTATTTTTAACCTCAACCGATGATCCAATAATCTTTTCCGGTCGTAAATAACAGTTGCTTCCCATGAAGAAAAAAAAAATGACGCCATTTTCCCTGGGTGATAGATCTGTATCTTGAGGCAATTTCTCGATCTTTTCACATCTCGCGGGACTAATGTGTGCAGGTCTAAGATCAATGTTGATCCAATATTCCATCATCTCTATGCCGAGATATCGCCAATCTCTGCTCATAAATATAAGCGAATGATCGCTTAACTGAAATCCCCATCTCATCATTGCTAGTTTGAGATATCGATCACTTCTGCTTATAGATATAAACAACCGATCGGTTAACCAAACCCCTATCCCATTATCCCACCGCAACAGTACAAGATCTATAATCAGTTTGTGTAGGCTACAAATGCCCGTATGAAATAATTTCTCGTCAATAACATATTTTGTTTTGCCAATTTAAAAAAAACCGGCATAAATAACTCATCAGTCCTAGAATTGTTAGTGATGGCTAATTAACAATTGTAGTTTTAATTTTTAATTTAAAACGATTTAAAGATAAAGCCTTAAACTCGGTAATTAAATTAAACTCATTTCTCTGAATAGGGCGAAAGGTTTAATTAAGTAATGAATTTTGTGGTAAACAAAACAGGACGGGTAAAATTGAGTTAATTAGGAGTTAATTAGGATGTCTTTACCGAAGCTAAAAGTGCTGATTATAAATGAAATGTATAAAGCCAGAACGTCCGCGTTATTTAAGCCAGTGATGGAATGATCCGCCATTGTCAGACTCTGGGACAAGCGGATCTCATCCGGTATTGACGTTATGCCAGGTCTTAGAGGGGAATTAGGGACAGAGGGAGTTTGTTGGGGCGTGGGGGTGGGGGGGGGGGGAGACAGACACGTCAGGTGTGATGGGAATGTTGGATGATGGTTGGGCAAGTTCGGTATTACATGAATGTTGGATGATTGTAGGATAGTGACAGACATGAATGTTGGATGATGGTTGGACAAGTTCGGTATTACATGAATGTTGGATGATTGTAGGATAGTGACAGACATGAATGTTGGATGATGGTTGGGCAAGTTCGGTATTACATGAATGTTGGATGATTGTAGGAGAGTGACAGACATGAATGTTGGATGATGGTTGGGCAAGTTCGGTATTACATGAATGTTGGATGATTGGTGGAAGCGTTCGGTATGACATGAATGTTGGATGATTGGTGGACATTGAACAACAGCATCTTTCTGTATAACTGGAATGTTGGATAGGGTTAACTTCACTGTTTTACCCAGTAGCCATGTACTAAAATATGTTTGTTCCACCTACTCCCCATGACACTGACGTCACACTGTTAACCTCTACACATGACGTCACAATGTTAACCTCTACACATGACGTCACAATGTTAACCTCTACACATGACGTCACAATGTTAACCTCTACACATGACGTCACAATGTTAACCTCTACACATGACGTTACAATGTTAACCTCTACAAATGAAGTCACAATGTTAACCTCTACACATGACGTTACAATGTTAACCTCTACACATGACGTCACAATGTTAACCTCTACACATGACGTTACAATGTTAACCTCTACACATGACGTCACAATGTTAACCTCTACACATGACGTTAGAAACTGTCCCCATACTGACGTCGTAGTGTTAACAGAGACAGAACCACTACTGCGTATGATAACAGAAGCGATATGTATAAGTCACGATATGTATAAGGCACGATATGTATAAGTCACGATATCACGATATGTATAACTCACGATATATATAAGTCACGATATGTATAAGTCACGATATGTATAAGTCACGATATGTATAAGTCACGATATGTATGTCACGATATGTATAAGTCACGATATGTATAAGTCACGATATGTATAAGTCACGATATGTTTAAGTCACGATATGTATAAGTCACGATATGTATAAGTCATGACAAGTGGGAGATGACTGGAGAGTGAAAGACAATAAGAAAGACGAGACATTTTCCTAAAAAACAGGAACTCTAGAGAGTTAAGTGAACCATAAACAGCCGTCTGGTAGATGGGGGGGGGGGAGGGGGGGGGGGGCTCTATGACAGGGAACGCTCGTGTCCACCATTTGGTTTGAGTTAAAACGTTTGGTCAGTTGTGTTATTATAACTTGATTTATTTCATGGGTAGACCTTTTCAGTTCTTTTAAGGGGGAAAAATCAAATCTATTTAAAACCCATGCCGGAGATTTCAATAAAAATTATTCAAACTTAATCAAGTTTATTTTCCTAGATAGGAAATATAGGACAATTGTGGGACATATGTGCGACAAATGAGGGACAAATGAGGGACAAATGTGGGACAAATGTGGGACAAATGTGGGACAAATATGGGACAAATGTGGGACAAATGTGGGACAAATGTGGGACAAATGTGGGACTAATGTGGGACAAATGTGGGACAAATATAGGACAAATGTGGGACAAATGTGGGACAAATGTGGGACAAATGTGGGACAAATGTGGGACAAATGTGGGACAAATGTGGGACAAATGTGGGACAAATGTGGGACAAATGTGGGACAAATGTGGGACAAATGTGGGACAAATGTGGGACAAATGTGGGACAAATGTGGGACAAATGTGGGACAAATGTGGGACAAATGTGGGACAAATGTGGGACAAATGTGGGACAAATGTGGGACAAATGTGGGACTAATGTGGGACAAATGTGGGACAAATGTGGGACAAATGTGGGACAAATGTGGGACAAATGTGGGACAAATGTGGGACAAATGTGGGACAAATGTGGGACAAATGTGGGACAAATGTGGGACAAATGTGGGACAAATGTGGGACAAATGTGGGACAAATGTGGGACAAATGTGGGACAAATGTGGGACAAATGTGGGACAAATGTGGGACAAATGTGGGACAAATGTGGGACAAATGTGGGACAAATGTGGGACAAATGTGGGACTAATGTGGGACAAATGTGGGACAAATGTGGGACAAATGTGGGACAAATGTGGGACAAATGTGGGACAAATGTGGGACAAATGTGGGACAAATGTGGGACAAATGTGGGACAAATGTGGGACAAATGTGGGACAAATGTGGGACAAATGTGGGACAAATGTGGGACAAATGTGGGACAAATGTGGGACAAATGTGGGACAAATGTGGGACAAATGTGGGACAAATGTGGGACAAATGTGGGACAAATGTGGGACAAATGTGGGACAAATATGGAACAAATGTGGAGCCGCTCAGATAAGATGCTAAGTAGGAAGGACAATATCACACAGCTATTATTACACAAAGCTACTAGACGGACTATTGTAAGTAAGGTCACTATTTCAAAGCAATGTCAAAATGTCAAAGTAATGTCACAATATCAAAGTAATGTCACAATATCAAAGTAATGTCACAATATCAAAGTAATGTCACAATATCAAAGTAATGTCACAATATCAAAGTAATGTCACAATATCAAAGTAATGTCACAACATCAAAAGTAATGTCACAATATCAAAGTAATGTCACAATATCAAAGTAATGTCACAACATCAAAGTAATGTCACAATATCACAATAGGATGCCAGACACATGTCATCCACACCTGTACAAAATAATCATCTATTTTCAACCATCACATATGTACTAAAATATCGGTGTAATCCAAACCCCCTCATCTATAATCTAATGTAATCTATGTAATTCTATTCTACACGCTAAAGTACAGTTACATAGCAACCGACTATATACTAAAATGCCACCATATAGCCTTTTGCTATTTAATAAAATGTCCCGACATAGTAATAGGCTATATTTGACTCCTGTCTACATACTAAAATAGCAATAAAATCACATCTATGTAAAACAAAATGATTAGGCACATCCACGTAGACTATAAAGCAATGGCACTTACTCTTTTGCCGCCTGGCAACATTGCCGAAGTCTGGAACACCCCAGCTCCCCCACCCCCTTACACTGGTCCTCCACATCAAACTCCAACACCTGCTGCAGCAGCTGTGAGCTCATGTTCCTCAGCCCACCTGTCTTCAGGTGATCAGGGAACAGGTAACTGAAGCACAGGAAGCAAGTCCAGGTCTGGAAGTAGCTCACGTTATGCACGTTGTAGCGGTCTCGGCATGTTGGTTCTGGAACCATCAGCAGGGTCGTCTGGTAGCTGACCATCTTGTCCGAGCAGATCGTGTGGGTGTCTTATGTCACGTACCACACCAGCCACACGCCATTATAGATGCCACACGACGCGGAACACACAACTACACAACCCTAATCACTGTTACGATAACTATAAAAAAAATACCTTTAAGTAAACTACTAAGTAGCTGAGAGTATTTTCTGTTTTAGTTTGCAAATAGCGAGTTAAACACTTGCTAACGCTGTTGCTTTTGTAGATTAACCAGCAAGTTCAGTTCTTCCTAACATAATTTCCTTCAGCAATTACAAGAACAGTTCTTGACTTAATTTAAGTTATCGCTGAAACTTCGAATTTTTTTACCAATCTAACCACCAACAACGATTCAGTTACCCATTTGTCTATTCCCTAAACCCGGATCTGTTACTAACATAAGACCAACACAGAATTTAGCAGCAAACCTTGAGTTTAGACGTAACACTGATCTTTCAATGCTAAATGCCAACCTAACCTGAGCAAATCACAGATGGTTACAAAAGACCTCAATTTTGTAGGAAAGAAATTCTAGCACCATGCGATGAATTTACCTGCAAATTGATTCTTCCATCAAATAACGAGATTAGCACGAAAACTTCTAACATCAAATCATGAAACTAGCTCAAACTGAATTTTAAATCCCGTGTTTAGCACCAACCTGAATCTTATATCCAATCCTAATGACAGCACCAAATATTTACACCAATCTCTAGATTTAGCACCAAACTAGCCCCAAGTGAGCCATTAATCTAGAATATTCCCAAGACACGTCTCTAGAAACAGTCCCGATTACTGAGCCACTGAAATCTTTGTTGCCCATTAAATCCACACTGAAGGATTATCCCCGTCCCACCCTCAAACCAGGGACCCGCCCCACCCTCAGCCAGTCCAGAGACCCGCCCGTGTGAGCGCTCAGCGAGCAGACGGCGCGAACTCCCAGGAAGTGACAGTTGTAAAATGTAACTAATTATCAGAGAACTTTGGGGATTCCCGCACGGTCCGGCTAATGTTAGGCTTATAATCTACGTCTATGTCGGGCTAATGTTAGGCTTATAATCTATGTCGGGCTATTGTTAGGTTTATAATCTACGTCTATGTCGGGCTAATATTAGGTTTATAATCTATGTCGGGCTAATGTTAGGTTCATAATCTACGTCTATGTCGGGCTAATATTAGGTTTATAATCTACGTCTATGTCGGGCTAATGTTAGGTTTATAATCTACGTCTATGTCGGGCTAATGTTAGGTTTATAATCTATGTCGGGCTAATGTTAGGTTTATAATCTACGTCTATGTCGGGCTAATGTTAGGTTTATAATCGATGTCGGGCTAATGTTAGGTTTATAATCTACGTCTATGTCGGGCTAATATTAGGTTTATAATCTATGTCGGCCTAATGTTAGGTTTATAATCTACGTCTATATCGGGCTAATATTAGGTTTATAATCTATGTCGGCCTAATGTTAGGTTTATCATCTATGTCGGGCTAATGTTAGGTTTATAATCTACGTCTATGTCGGGCTTATGTTAGGTTTATAATCTACGTCTATGTCGGGCTAATGTTAGGTTTATAATCTACGTCTATGTCGGGCTAATGTTAGGTTTATAATCTACGTCTATGTCGGGCTTATGTTAGGTTTATAATCTATGTCTATGTCGGGCTAATGTTAGGTTTATAATCTACGTCGGGCTAATGTTAGGTTTATAATCTATGTCTATGTCGGGCTTATGTTAGGTTTATAATCTACGTCTATGTCGGGCTAATGTTAGGTTTATAATCTACGTCTATGTCGGGTTAATGTTAGGTTTATAATCTACGTCGGGCTAATGTTAGGTTTATAATCTATGTCTATGTCGGGCTTATGTTAGGTTTATAATCTACGTCTATGTCGGGCTAATGTTAGGTTTATAATCTACGTCGGGCTAATGTTAGGTTTATAATCTATGTCTATGTCGGGCTTATGTTAGGTTTATAATCTACGTCTATGTCGGGCTAATGTTAGGTTTATAATCTACGTCTATGTCGGGTTAATGTTAGGTTTATAATCTACGTACTTGTCGGGACACTATATACATCTGTTGTTCGGATGTCGTTCAGTGTGAAAAGGGAAAATATGTGCACATATGGGACTAATCTGACGTGTAACTGATACATATGGGGTTAACCTGACGTGTGATGGATTCATAGGGGCTAACTTGACGTATGTGTACATACAGGGTTAATCAGACGTATGATGTGTACATATGGGGCTAAACTGACTTTTATTGAGTCCAAATTGGATTTACGCTGCTCTGAGTTGTATCATCTTTATTAAATGCTGTGTAAAGTACGGTTAAAACTCAGTGTGTACTAAAAGTGTACAAATGTGTCGTGTATTTTAAAAACACCAAGCTCATACGAGAGAAGACGACCCAGTTTTGTGTACTCACACTTGGCTGAGGGGAGGGGTTATCATCGAGACGTCACCTCAAGGTGAGCCGGAACTCCGCCTCCTCTGAGTGACGACAATGTAGCGCTGAGACTTCCGTGAGGGTCGCACTACTGTTTCACCTCCTGCCTGAAGAATGGTACCCGGGGTTCGACTTCCGGAGTGAGTCACGTGTCTTCCGGCAGAACTCCCATTAGAATTTGATCATCTTACGGTTATAAACAGACGCGAGCTTTACGGATGGGTCAGTTTACTTCATGATTACTTCTGCCATCTAGAGATATTTGGTAGCCATCTTCGTATATTTGTAGCCCACGCGATATTGCCCTATTTTGTAACCATTTTAAAATACTTCTTAGTCATCTCGAGAAATTTGGTAGCCATCTTTAAAAATTTTCGTAGACATCTCGCTATATTTGGTAAAGATCGTGACGATTTCAGCCCTCTTTAAACTTAAGATAACGTTTCTTGCTAATTGGTCACTAGAGCTTCACTTCGAAATGCAATATAATGCATATAAAAATATAACAAAAATATATATTATACAACGCTAAAACAAATTGAGCACTTTTATTTAAATAAAAGCAGGAGTGATCTCCCCTAAACGTTCTTGTATATTCTTATTGATTAACTCTTAGGGGGATTGCACTTCAATCGTGCTATAGACACGTTTTTTAAATTAATTTTTTTACATACTTAATTTTTTTTCAACATAGAATAGAGTCGAGTAGAAAAAAGAATTGTGCACCAAATGAACGTAAATGAATGTAAACAATGTGTGCATAACTGAGCGGAAAACTACTACTTTTTAAAGGAAGCTTTGATAAATTTTTAAATAGTTGATTAAAAATCTATTTGATGTCCAACATTTTATGTCACTGTACATTGTCATCGAGTCTTGAACTACGGGAATAGTTTAAAACATCAGTCAGGTAGAAGTGGTATTTTTTGAGAAATCGGAAACGCCGTAAAGAGCTACTTCCGGTCACCGGAAACCATTTAAAATTTGAAGTAATCCAGAAAATATAATCTTTTCTTATGGATAAAATTGCGTTTACTGAACTGAAACTGAATTTTTGTTTTACCCAAAGACGGACGTACCACAAAGGCACGGCATGACAATGTATCACTTTAAATAAACGCTGGTAAAACTAAAAATAAAACTTGGTTTATTGAACTCAATGACATGAAAAAACAGTAATCCAAGGTACATGTAAGCACATCACATATCATCACAGTCGAGGTTTGATATCACACATCATTGTGGACTGGATATTACACATCGTCGTTGTGAACGTTTGATACAACATAGCAAGATTATGAATTCTAAGTTGCAATTTTGTTTAACATCGTACATAATCATCATAAACATCAAACATCAGCTCGTGGAATTTGGTAAATACCAACACGACAAATCATATCACACACCAACAACATCATAAACACACCACCACCATCGTAAACATCAGACATCAGCATTGTGGAGTTTGGCTGACTCCAACACGTCACACCATCACCATCATAAACATCAGACATCAGCTAGACACATCACATCACACACCATCACCATCATAAACATCAGAGATCAGCTAGACACATCACATCACACACCATCACCATCATAAACATCAGAGATCAGCTAGACACATCACATCACACACCATCACCATCATAAACATCAGACATCAGCATTGTGGAGCTTGGCTGACTCCAAGACGGCCGAGAACTCTATGGGAGACAGCTGCATGTTTTCTGTGACTGGCAGCCAGAAGATGCGCTCACCCTGGAGAAGTCACACATGACTGTAGGGCTAAACTAACGTGTTTTGGTGGCAGTGTGTGTGTGTGTGTGTGTGTGTGTGTGTGTGTGTGTCTGGAGAAGTCATGCATGACTGTAGGGCTAAACTAACGTGTTTTAGTGGCAGTGTGTGTGTGTGTGTGTGTGTGTATGTGTGTGTGTGTGTCTGGAGAAGTCACACATGACTGTAGGGCTGAACTAACGTGTTTTAGTGGCAGTGTGTGTGTGTATGTGTGTGTGTGTGTGTGTGTGTGTGTCTGGAGAAGTCACACATGACTGTAGGGCTAAACTAACGTGTTTTGGTGGCAGTGTGTGTATGTGTGTGTGTGTGTGTGTGTGTCTGGAGAAGTCACACATGACTGTAGGGCTAAACTAACGTGTTTTGGTGGCAGTGTGTGTGTGTATGTGTGTGTGTGTGTGTGTGTGTCTGGAGAAGTCACACATGACTGTAGGGCTAAACTAACGTGTTTTGGTGGCAGTGTGTGTGTGTGTGTGTGTGTGTGTGTGTCTGGAGAAGTCACACATGACTGTAGGGTTAAACTAACGTGTTTTGGTGGCAGTGTATGTGTGTGTGTGTGTGTGTGTCTGGAGAAGTCACACATGACTGTAGGGCTAAACTAACGTGTTTTGGTGGCAGTGTGTGTGTGTGTGTGTGTGTGTGTCTGGAGAAGTCACACATGACTGTAGGGCTAAACTAACGTGTTTTGGTGGCAGTGTGTGTGTGTATGTGTGTGTGTGTGTGTGTGTGTCTGGAGAAGTCATGCATGACTGTAGGGCTAAACTAACGTGTTTTAAAGTGGCTGTGTGTGTGTGTGTGTGTGTCTGGAGAAGTCACACATGACTGTAGGGCTGAACTAACGTGTTTTAGTGGCAGTGTGTGTGTGTGTGTGTGTCTGGAGAAGTCACACATGACTGTAGGGCTAAACTAACGTGTTTTGGTGGCAGTGTGTGTGTGTGTGTGTGTGTGTGTCTCCCTAGAGAAGTCACACATGACTGTAGGGCTAAACTAACGTGTTTCAGTTTAGTGTATGTGTGTGTGTGTATGTGTGTGTCTAGAGAAGTCACACATGACTGTAGGGCTAAACTAACGTGTTTTATTGGCAGTGTGTGTATGTGTGTGTGTGTATGTGTGTCTCCTTTGAGAAGTCACTTTTAGACCTAGCGATCGATGGGGCAGATGAAGTAGAGTTTATGTTTCTTGATCTCTGCATTTGAAGGGAACGTGTGGTCAGCACTATGACCAACTGCCTTTACTTTCCCTAACATGAGTCAGGTACTCATTAGAGCTGGGTGGACTCTTAAGTTGCGGACCACAGTGGGCCACCGGTTTCCAATTTATTTTTATTTCCTCCAGTAGACCGGAGAAACCATATGAAGAGGTTTAATGTAATTACGTCCAGCCGAGCTGTCGTGTCTGATGTCGGTTAGGGAGCTAAGATGTTGGTGATTGGTAGGGAAGGATGGGGGGGGGGGGGGGTCGGGGTCGGGGTAGGATGTCATCATTACACATTGTAAACACTAGATAAGATGTCTGTCTATATGGTAGCCCCGATGTCTGTCTATATGGTAGCCCAGATGTCTGTCTATATGGTAGCCCAGATGTCTGTCTATATGGTAGCATAAATGTCTGTCTGTATGGTAGCCCAGATGTCTGTCTATATGGTAGCATAAATGTCTATATGCTAGCCCAGATGTCTACCTATATGGTAGCCCAGATGTCTGTATGGTAGCCCAGATGTATGTCTATATGGTAGCCCAGATGTCTGTCTATATGGTAGCCCGGATGTTTGTCTATATGGTAGCCCAGATGTCTGTCTATATGGTAGCCCCGATGTCTGTCTATATGGTAGCCCAGATGTCTGTCTATATGGTAGCCCCGATGTCTGTCTATATGGTAGCCCAGATGTCTGTCTATATGGTAGCCCAGATGTTTGTCTACATGGTAGCCCGGATGTCTGTCTATATGGTAGCCCAGATGTTTGTCTACATGGTAGCCCAGATGTCTGTTTATATGGTAGCCCAGATGTTTGTCTAAATGGTAGCCCGGATGTCTGTCTATATGGTAGCCAAGATGTTTGTCTACATGGTAGCCCAGATGTCTGTCTATATGGTAGCCCGGATGTCTGTCTATATGGTAGCCCAGATGTCTGTCTAAATGGTAGCCCAGATGTCTGTCTATATGGTAGCCCAGATGTCTGTCTATATGGTAGCCCAGATGTCTACCTATATGGTAGCCCAAATGTCTGTCTATATGGTAGCCCAGATGTCTGTCTATATGGTAGCCCAGATGTCTGTCTATATGGTAGCCCAGATGTCTGTCTATATGGTAGCCCAGATGTCTGTCTATATGGTAGCCCAGATGTCTGGCTATATGGTAGCTCAGATGTCTATATGGTAGCTCAGATGTCTGTCTATATGGTAGCCCAGATGTCTGTCTATATGGTAGCCCAGATGTCTGTCTATATGGTAGCCCAGATGTCTGTCTATATGGTAGCATAAATGTCTATATGCTAGCCCAGATGTCTGTCTATATGGTAGCCCAAATGTCTGTCTATATGGTAGCCTAGATGTCTGTCTATATGGTAGCCCAAATGTATGTCTACATGGTAGCCCGGATGTCTGTCTATATGGTAGCCCAGATGTCTGTCTATATGGTAGCCCAAATGTATGTCTACATGGTAGCCCGGATGTCTGTCTATATGGTAGCCCAGATGTTTGTCTATATGGTAGCCCAGATGTCTGTCTATATGGTAGCCCAGATGTCTGTCTATATGGTAGCCCGGATGTTTGTCTATATGGTAGCCCAGATGTCTGTCTATATGGTAGCCCAGATGTCTGTCTATATGGTAGCCCAGATGTCTGTCTATATGGTAGCCCAGATGTTTGTCTACATGGTAGCCCGGATGTCTGTCTATATGGTAGCCCGGATGTCTGTCTATATGGTAGCCCGGATGTTTGTCTATATGGTAGCCCGGATGTTTGTCTATATGGTAGCCCAGATGTCTGTCTATATGGTAGCCCAGATGTCTGTCTATATGGTAGCCTAGATGTCTGTGTATATGGTAGCATAAATATCTGTATGATGGCCCAGATGTATGTCAGCAAGGTATTATTTCTGTCCGTTTAAAATCGCAATGTTTGTCAAATATCAGAAGAACATCCAATTCATGTATAAACTATTTTAAGTATGTTTATAAACTCAGTTTAATTTGTCTATCATGTTCGCCGCGTTCGTTGGTTTTGCATGAATTTTATGTGGAATGGATGTCCGCTTTGTTCATTTCCTGTGGGAGTTGTGCTTGTGTGGTGGGAACTGTTCGTTCTTGTCCTGTGTGGGGATTGTGCCTATACGGTGTGGGGATTGTGTTTGTAATGTGTGGGAATTGGGCCTGTACTGTGTGGGAATTGTGTCTGTAATGTGTGGGAATTGTGTTTGTACTGTATGGGAATTGTGTTTGTACTGTATGTGAATTGTGTTTGTTTTGTGTGGGGATTGTATTTGTACTGTACACCAGGGACTACCTCCTTTATCTTGGAATCAAAACAGTCCTTGTACTTGTAGTGAAAGTTCCAGATCTCTGTCTCCTGCCAGGCGTTGTCCGTGTTGCTAGGGTCGTCTTGGTAACCTCTGTACACCATCATGGCGGAGTAGCCGTAGTAGGCGTACATTGACTTGTTCTTCTTCTGCATCTCAGCTGAAGCGAACTGGCTGTAGAACTGCAAGGGGAAAGAGTAAAACACTGGAATGGTTACGTTTGAATTGCTGGATGGTTAAGTATATAACACTGGATAATTAAGAATAAAGTACTGGATAATTAAATTTGCGATCTACGATGCTTAAGCATAAGATGCTGGATTGGTAAAGTTTAAAATAATGGATGTTAAAAGTATGAAATAATAATACTTTTGGGATCGATTTTTGTTTTGTTTTCCTCAACTATCTTTTACCTGTCGTTCCTATAGAAACCACACTGTTCCTTGCATGTAGTCCCCATAGCAACCCGACCATCGTCACCATAGCAAACCGACCATCGTTACTATGGCAACCCGACCATCGTCACCATAGCAAACCGACCATCGTTACTATGGCAACCCGACCATCGTTACTATGGCAACCCGACCATCGTCACCATAGCAACTCGACCATCGTCACTATAGCAACCCGACCATCGTCACCATAGCAACCCGACTATCGTCACTATAGCAACCAGACCACCGTCATCATGGCAACCAGACAGTGCCTTACCTGCACCATTTCCTCCTGGTCATAATTGGCCACATCCTCCGCGTCGCTGTCCTTGCTCAGGTAATTCTTCAACAAGGTGCACATGGTTCCGTGGGGCGAAATACCACCAATAACAAATTCCTGCAAGGGTCAAAGTTCAAATCATTGTTTACCACACGAACTTTAAAAATAGAATTTTAATAAAAGTTTCAAAACGAAAAAAAATCTTTTACCGCTGGAAGTGAGACGGTTCTCGTGTCCGGCGGCTGGACGACCAGGATCTCGATACGTTTGGAGCTGGGCGGGTCCTGGGCCTTGGAGGCCACCTGTTGGCCCGAGGGCTGGGCCTTCCACCTGGAGATGACGGCCTGCATCATGTGGTTCGGACCCCAGAAATAAAGTTTTCCTCGGCCACGGAGCCCAGTTCTACCCATGGGATTTCTGGGAAAGTAAAATATTCTTGGGCGCAAAGTCTAATAAACATGCTGACAGATTTCAGATAAAGAGAATACATGTGACCTACTGTACCTAGATTACTACCAGAGGCGTATCCAGGTTTTCGTTGTAGGGGGAGCGAAAAGAGCAAAAAAGGCGCCGAATTTTTAATACGTTCTATATACGTGTATTATATATATATATAAATATATGAATATATATATATATATATATATATATATATATATATATATATATATATATATATATATATAATTACTAGCTGTATGTCATTACTTCGTTATGATGTAAAATACATTGAAAGTAGCAATCTGAAGAAATAAGAAAAAAACACACAATGTAGGCCGACTAAACAAAAATGTTATCAATCTAAAAATATATATATATATATATACACTACAACCAAAAACAATGAACGTAACACAATCTGTTTTGTAATTCTTATAAAAAAAAATTTCTTACATAATAATTCCTGGGAAATTATTTAAGACAAGTGAAATAGGGGAAATAATCACTCTCTTAATATAAATATGTATATATCTACACATTTAATTATAAATGTCAAAACAAATAAATACTTTAGAATATAATGAAATTATTTAACACTATTCGTGTTTCCAAATGTTTTTGGCGGCGTGGGACTTTAGTGCATCATTACGCGTTTTTCTACATGTACTTAACAGATCAGTTTGGGTTGGGTTGGGGGGGGGGGGATTAAGTTCAACTTCATTCACCAATGTCCGGTCACTTTAGGTCAATTATCCAACCCAGTGTATACCTAGGTGTGACATTAATGTCGCTCTACACAAGTGTGGTGGTGAGGTGTGTGTGTGTGTGGGGGGGGGGGAGATAACCAACTCAGAGTGAACATAGCGTCAGTTTTTAGATGACTGTTCTAATCATACATATATATTACACAAATATATATTACACACATAGATATTATAGAAATAGATTTAAATAAGTAGCAGTGGTATTATGACAATATTTTTTTTTACAGAGGGGTCCATGGGGGAGGGGGGTTGTAACTGTTTCATATAATTTGTAATCGTAATCACTGTCGCCCAAATTGTAAGATGACGTTGTTGACCTTGTCAAAATTTCCCTACCACTACGCAGTTTGCTCATAAGTAAATTTAAATAGAGGTTCCACATCAGTTGTATTTGTTTCTGTATTGTAATTGTTTTAAATTAATCACACGATTCAAACTGTATATATAAAGTAATTATGTGTGAAGTTTTATGTATAACATTTTCTAATTCAATTATTCGTAAGCATAATACATTATACAGTTGCCTTTAACTTAACACCACTCTTGCCAAGTGGTACTACCCGTAGAGGTTTTTTAAACATTGCAATGCATCATAATGGTTATTTTTAGAATGGCGAACTGATGCAGCTGTTAATACGTGTTGTAAACGTAGACACTACTAGACTAGTACAATAATGCTTAATTGCTGCATGAAAAGAAATCTTGTGTTTACATAGATGTGCCGACCAAAAATATTTTTTTTTAACAAATATCAGTTTAAAACTTTGAGTTTAATAAGTTTCCAAAAAGGCGCCACTTTGCTGAAAATGTCCAGAGGGGGAGCGGCCGCTCCCCCTGCTCCACTCCTGCGTACGCTACTGATTACTACGTAACTGGCTATGCCTAATTGACTACGTGACCATCTATGCTTAGATGACTACATGACTTCCTATGAATAGCCAGCTGAATCGGTGACGTCACAAGGCAGTCATGAAGGGTGTAAACTGCACCACGTTACAAAATTAAAGGAACCAGCACTAAATGTCACACTAATGAGCCACGCCTTCAAGCACAGAGCCACGCCTTCAAGCACAGAGCCACGCCTTCAAGTATAGAGCCACGCCTTCAAGCACAGAGCCACGCCTTCAAGCACAGAGCCATGCCTTCAAGCACAGAGCCACGCCTTCAAGCACAGAGCCACGCCTTCAAGCACAGAGCCACGCCTTCAAGCACAGAGCCACGCCTTCAAGCACAGAGCCACGCCTTCAAGCACAGAGCCACGTCTTCCAGGATGAGAAGTGACTTGTGCTACTAGTTGATGGACAACATAATCATATGGTCGTTGGTGCTCTAAATGAAATCAGCGGATGTCACCTGCCCTAGTGACGCCGCTGACCTGATCAACTGGAGTCATCCAAGTTGTTGACGTCATGGATATGATGGACGGGAGTAGAACACTTACCTGGGCATTGACGTCACACAAAGGCAGTGACGTCACACCTGGACAGTGACGTCACACCTGGGTAGTGACTTCACACATGTAGCACACCTACCTGGGAACTGAAGTGGCATCTAGCTCGTACTGCAGCGGCTCAGCGTTGGAGGTCATGTATGTGGTCCTATCAATGACCCCTGTATGACCACTGGGCAGCGTTATGGTGGTGACGGCGTTATAGTTAGGTTCAAACTGGTGAATTACATGCGGCAAGTTTTCATCCTCTAGACCCACCAGGTGGATGGAGAGACCCTCTGCGTTCAAGCTGTTTACATATACACATATATATATAAATTTAGATATATATATATATATATATATATATATATATATATATATATATATATATATATATATATATATATAATTTAGTTAAAGTTATTAATATTATAATATATTAAATAAAATAACTTTTCTTTAAAATTCTAAAACTACAGACTTCCTTTCACCCCTCCCCCCTACTTTAAAATATCTGGGTCCACCCATGGCTGGAGGTCAAGAGGAAACTCCTCCACGGGCTTGGTGTACTCGGGCGGGTCGTAGGTCTCCAACGTCACCTGGAAAGTCATGTCAAGGATTTGAGAACCCCTGCAGACATCAGTGTCTGACATGGTTGATTAAACCCTCCCATCTAGACCTCCCTAACCGTTCAGTACTCTGTAGAGTGAACCCCTCCCCAACAAGACCGCCCACTACTATACATGGTTGACTAAACTCCTCCCACTGCAATATGTGGTTGACAAAACTCCTCCCCCACCAAGACCGCCCACTACCATATATGGTTGACTAAACTCCTCCCACTGCAATATGTGGTTGACAAAACTCCTCCCCCACCAAGACCGCCCACTACCATATATGGTTGACTAAACTCCTCCCACTGCAATATGTGGTTGACAAAACTCCTCCCCCACCAAGACCGCCCACTACCATATATGGTTGACTAAACTCCTCCCACTGCAATATGTGGTTGACAAAACTCCTCCCCCACCAAGACAACCCACTACCATACATGGTTGGCTAACTCCTCCGCCTAAAAAAGAAGACCGCCCACTACCATATATGGTCAACGAACCTCCCACAAGATTTCCTTCTCCAATACAGGGAATCGATTAATGTCTGTGCCTGGGTAGGGCGACTTCCGGGACTCCACGTGGATGGGGCGTGTCTGGGCCTGGGCCTTCTGTACCTGGGCTTTAGGGTCTGCATACAACATTTGAATTCATTCATTAAGATTCTTTCATTATTCACTCAACATTTGAATTCATTCATTAAGATTCTTTCATTATTCACACAACATTTGGATTCATTCATTAAGATTCTTTCATTATTCACACAACATTTGGATTCATTCATTAAGATTCTTATTCACACATTTGAATTCATTCATTAAGATTCTTTCATTATTCACTCAACATTTGAATTCATTCATTAAGATTCTTTCATTATTCACTCAACATTTGAATTCATTCATTAAGATTCTTTCATTATTCACACAACATTGGAATTCAGTCATTAAGATTCTTTAATTATTCACACAACATTTGAATTCATTCATTAAGATTTTTTAATTATTCACACACCATCTGAATTCAGTTATTAAGATTCTTTCATTAAACACACAACACATTTGAATTCATTCATTAAGATTATTTAATTATTCACACAACATTTGAATTCATTCATTAAGATTATTTAATTATTCACACAACATTTGAATTCATTCATTAAGATTCTTTAATTATTCACACACCATTTGAATTCAGTTATTAAGATTCTTTTATTATTCACTCAACATTTGAATTCATTCACTAAGATTCTTTCATTATTCACACATCATTTGAATTCATTCATTAAGATTCTGTAATTATTCACACAACACATTTGAATTCATTCATTAATATTCTTTAATTACAAATTTTTTGGTATAATATTCATGGGATGGCGTGGTCGGGATGTAGCGCTCTCGACTGTTGGTCCGCGGGTCTCGAGTTCCCCGAGTCCACACAAGCAGAGCTACTTTTAGGCAACTCTAGGAGGGGGTGGTGGGCACAACCGACATTACCCCTGCTCTACCTTATTTGCCGTCAGGCCCGAAAAAGTAATTTTATAACTTTTAAAATTTTGAACAAGTAAATATAAATCGTACCGTTTCTAGATTTGGTGACCTCGACTTGAGTAAGTAGGCCAATTGACCAAATCTACCTGATCTATACTTGGTATACCTATACTTGTAAACTAGGTCAACTGACCTAAACGTGTAAACTAGGTCACCCTACTTAAGCTAACTAAACTGGACTTGCGTAAACCAGGTCATCAGATCTAAATATAACTGACCTAGATTATGCAGACTGTTGAGTAAACTCTCCAGCGCAAAGCCAATCAACATCTGACTCTTCTCGATGTCCACAAGTCGGTCGTTGAGACGCCGCATCATCACCTTCTGGGCGGCACTGTCTTCTTCAAGCTGGGATAGCCTGCATAGGGGACCAATGGGTGCATGACTTAGTCAGGGTCATGTGACTTAGGCTGGTTTGACTTAGGCTGATGTGACTTAGTCAGGCTGGTTTGACTTACGGTAGGTTTGATCTTTCAAGTGGCAGATAAGTGATACATGATAAGATGAAAGTCTGATAAGCCTTAGACAGGCAGTGATACACATAACGTTCTTGTACTTAGCCCATGAGGGAACTCATACAAAATAATGGTCTCACACAGTGAACTGATACAACATAATAGTCTCACACAGTGAACTGATACAACATGATGGTCTCACACAGTAAACTGATACAACATAATAGTCTCACACAGTGAACTGATACAACATGACGGTCTCACACAGTGAACTGATACAACATGATGGTCTCACACAGTAAACTGATACAACATAATAGTCTCACACAGTGAACTGATACAACATGACGGTCTCACACAGTGAACTGATACAACATGATGGTTTCACACAGTGAACTGATACAACATGATGGTCTCACACAGTGAACTGATACAACATAATAGTCTCACACAGTGAACTGATACAACATGATGGTCTCACACAGTGAACTGATACAACATGATGGTCTCACACAGTGAACTGATACAACATAATAGTCTCACACAGTGAACTGATACACCATGATGGTCTCACACAGTAAACTGATACAACATAATGGTCTCACACAGTGAACTGATACAACATGATGGTCTCACACAATGAACTGATACAACACAATGGTCTCACACAGTGAACTGATACAACACAATGGTCTCACACAATGAACTGATACAACATGATGGTCTCACACAGTGAACTGATACAACATAATAGTCTCACACAGTGAACTGATACAACATGATGGTCTCACACAGTAAACTGATACAACATGATGGTCTCACACAGTGAACTGATACATCATGATGGTCTCACACAGTGAACTGATACAACATGATGGTCTCACACAGTGAACTGATACAACATGACTGTCTCACACAGTGAACTGATACAACATGATGGTCTCACACAGTGAACTGATACAACATAATTCTCACACAGTGAACTGATACAACACAATGGTCTCACACAGTGAACTGATACACCATAATGGTCTCACACAGTGAACTGATACAACATGACTGTCTCACACAGTGAACTGATACAACATGATGGTCTTGCACAGTGAACTGATACAATATGATGGTCTCACACAGTGAACTGATACAACATGATGGTTTCACACAGTGAACTGATACAACATGATGGTGTCACACAGTGAACTGATACAACATGATGGTCTCACACAGTGAACTGATACAACATGATGGTTTCACACAGTGAACTGATACAACATAATGGTCTCACACAGTGAACTGATACAACATAATTCTCACACAGTGAACTGATACAACATGATGGTCTCACACAGTGAACTGATACAACATGATGGTCTCACACAGTGAACTGATACAACATGATGGTTTCACACAGTAAACTGATACAACATGATGGTCTCACAGTGAACTGATACAACATGACGGTCTCACACAGTGAACTGATACAACATGATGGTCTCACACAGTGAACTGATACAACATGATGGTCTCACACAGTAAACTGATACAACATGATGGTCTCACACAGTGAACTGATACAACATGATGGTCTCACACAGTGAACTGATACAACATGATGGTCTCACACAGTGAACTGATACAACATGATGGTCTCACACAGTGAACTGATACAACATAATGGTCCCACACAGTGATCTCACACAGAACTGATACAATATTTTGGTCTCACGTCTCCAATATGTTGGTCTCCTTCTCCTCTTCCCGTTTGGCCATGATAGACATGTAGGACTTCCATCGGTTGTAGGGCACGGAGTAGAACTCGGATTCTTGTCGCTGGTGGTTAGATTAATTGATTAGTAGGCTTAATTAGATGAATTAATTAGAAGGCTTAATTAGATGACTTTATTAGAAAAGTAAATAAGATGACTTAATTTGATTAATTAATTCGTTGATTTAATTAGATGACTTAATTAGAAGACTAAATAAGATGACTTAATTTGATGTATAAATGAAGTGACAATTAGATGACTCGAGGACTTAAATACAGAACTCGAATTCTCCCTGAGGGATTAGATGACTTAATTAGAAGACTTAATAAGATTGCTTACATGACTTAATTTTATAAGTCTGATTAGTTTCCCTTCGGGATTAGATGACTTAATTTTAATTTAATGAATTAATTATAGAAGTATGATTTTTCTTGTTGAAAGATTACATAACTAGAAGACTTCAATAGAGGAATTAATTTTTCTCGCTGAGAAATTAGATGACTCTATTATATGACTTAACAAGATGACTTATTAGACCTATCATGTTGTGATGTTGACCTACCATGTTGTGATGTGGACCTACCATGTTATGATGTTGACCTACCATGTTGTGATATTGACCTACCATGTTATTATGTTGACCTACCATGTTGTTATGTTGACCTACTTTGTTGCGATGTTGTCATACCATGTGATGTTGACCTACCATGTTGTGATGTTGACCTACCATGTTGTGATGTTGACCTACTATGTTGTGATGTTGACCTACCATGTGATGTTGACCTACCATGTGATGTTGACCTACCATGTGATGTTGACCTACCATGTTGTGATGTTGACCTACCTTGAACTGGTCCTGAAAACAAAAGTTACAACGAAACAAATTTGTCAGGGCCAGTTTGCCGAAGTAGATCATGACACGGAACGGGTAGGTGATCGCTATCAGAGGTGCTGGCACCACGGATCTGAGGAGTGGGGGGGGGGGGGATTAGGTTATCCGTTGAAATAAGTTGATGTTGTGATACATTGAATAGTTAAAAGGTCATTTATTCAGCCATCGGAAGATACCAATAAGCCCAACAAAGAAATGTATACCTCCTCTCTACAGAAATGTATACCTGCTCTGTATAGAAATGTATTCCTGCTCTGTACAGAAATGTATACCTGCTCTGTATAGAAATGTATTCCTGCTCTGTACAGAAATGTATACCTGCTCTGTATAGAAATGTATACCTGCTCTGTATAGAAATGTATATCTGCTCTCTACAGAAATGTATACCTGCTCTCTACAGAAATGTATACCTGTTCTGTACAGAAATGTATACCTGCTCTGTACAGAAATGTATACCTGCTCTCTACAGAAATGTATACCTGCTCTCTACAGAAATGTATACCTGTTCTGTACAGAAATGTATACCTGCTCTGAACAGAAATGTATACCTGCTCTCTACAGAAATGTATACCTGTTCTGTACAGAAATGTATACCTGCTCTGAACAGAAATGTATACCTGCTCTCTACAGAAATGTATACCTGCTCTCGAAGTCTGTGACCATGGAATAGAACTGGTACTTCCATATCTCCACCGATCTGACCGTGGTCTTGTTGATGGTCACCCTGAAAAATATCGCGTGTTCAAATTTTGTTTGATGGTCACCCTGAAAAATATCGTGCATTGACAGCTAAGGCTATCTGGCCATCTTATATGTCAAACATTTACCCAAAAATGGCGAACATGAGGGTAAAGTAGATCATCCATATATATGTCAAACATTTACCCGAAAATGGCGAACATGAGGGTAAAGTAGATCATCCATATATATGTCAAACATTTACCCAAAAATGGCGAACATGAGGGTAAAGTAGACCATCCTGGTGATGAGCAAATGAAGAATCACCATCACATACCCCAACCCTGTCTGGTAGGGACAATGCGCGACTCGTTTCTGCAGGAATGCTGGGGATACACAGGAGCAAAAATGTAAGGACACACAGGAGCAAAGATGTAAGGACACACAGGAGCAAAGATGTAAGGACACACAGGAGCAAAGATGTAAGGACACACAGGAGCAAAGATGTAAGGAAACACAGGAGCATAGATGTAAGGACACACAGGAGCAAAGATGTAAGGACACACAGGAACAAATATGTAAGGACACATAGAAACAAAGATGTAAGGACACACAGGAGCAAAGATGTAAGGTCACACAGGAGCAAAGATGTAAGGACACACAGGAGCAAAGATGTAAGGACACACAGGAGCAAAGATGTAACGACACACAGGAGCAAAGATGTAAGGACACACAGGAACAAAGATGTAAGGACACATAGAAACAAAGATGTAAGGACACACAGGCGCAAAGATGTAAGCACACAGGAGCAAAGATGTAAGGACACACAGGAACAAAGATGTAAGAACACACAGGAGCAAAGATGTAAGGACACATAGGAGCAAAGATGTAAGGACACACAGGAGAAAAGATGTAAGAAAACACAGGAGCAAAGATGTAAGGACACACAGGAGCAAAGATGTAAGGACACACAGGAACAAATATTACGCAGGAGCAAAGATGTAAGGACACATTGGAGTAAATATGTAAGGACACACAAGAACAAAGATGTAAGGACACACAGGATACTTTATTATCCAACACCAACAAACAAACAAGATTTAATATAATGACTGTCCTTTAGAAAAAAATTAACACAAAAATGTTAAATATCCAACAATCAACTAAAACTAAAAGGTTAAAACTCCATCTATCGCACTAAAACTATAACATTAACTTACACAAATGAATTATTAAACATTAACTTACACAAATGAATTATTAAACATTAACTTACACAAATGAATTATTAAATTTTTAACCTAACGACAAACCAAACTATAACCGTTAACCCTTAAACAGCCAGGTCCCAGTACTTACGTCCTAGGGTGCTTCCTGTTGAAGAGAAACATAACCTCTGACCCTAAGCGCTATAACAGTTGGTACATCACATTAACCTCTGACCTTAAAGCTTATATCTATTGGTTATACGACGTAAAAACATCGAATTTAAAAAACAAATGGAAAAAGACGTTTATAATAACAATCTTTTTCAGTTACCAATAAAAAAAATTAAGTGATTTTCTTTAAATATATAATAATCTAATATATAAAGCTCAATTCGGTATGTAAAAATACAATGTTTGTCGTTGACATACTTCGATGGATTAAAGTGTTAGATAATTAAAGTCCTTATGGTCTAAATTTATTAGTTAAAAAATTAATATTGAAAGTTTTGGAAATAATTTTCATTTATCAAACTGAAAGTAATAATTTTCGGCATGTTCATTAAACACAAGTTTTAAAAAAATATCATCTTTTACAAAAATTCTAATTATGTCTTTATTTAGTCCTATAGCACTTACTTCCCTTTGATAAATTAGGAAAACACAATTACTTCCCTTTATAAAACCATTGCATTAGTGGAAAAGAATTTACTTTTTATTACTTTGTTTTGGTGTTGGGAAAAAAAATAATTACATAATTAGCGGGGATTGATCAAGTGCAAATGTTGTAGGTATTTTACGGATAAGCTTGGAGTATTAAAATTGTTCATTAAATTGAAACAGGCGCGTTCGTTTAAGTGAGTGCAAAAGACTATGAATAAGTTGGGGTACTATAGTCGTTTATTAAGCTAAAACAGGCGATTCCGTTGGGTTTGCGTTAGTGGTTGCGGTTTGATTTGGTTCGTTTTTGTTCTTTCTTTTTTCGTTTTTGTTTGTGTTTTTTTCTTTGGGTTTGTATTTGTGTTTCTGGTTGGTTTTGCGTTTGGATTTGGTTTGTTTTCGTTTGCTTTTTCGTTTTTATGTAAGTTGTTATTGGGTGGTATTGGTGTTTGTGGTTGTGGTTGGGTTTGTTGTTAGGTTTTTGTTTTCGTTTGCTTTTTTGTTTGTTTTTCTTTGTGTTTGTATTGGTGTTTGTGGTTGTGGTTGGGTTTGTTGTTAGGTTTTTGTTTTCGTTTGTATTTGTAATTGTGTTAGCGTTATGTTTGCGTTTTGTTGTTTTGGGTTTGGTTGTTTGTGGTTTGGGTGGGCAATGCCGGGTTTATGATGATTACTAAACACACAGGTGATGGTCTTTAACAGAAAGGTTTTTCACAGAAGCCAGAGCAGGGCCTGGCCGGGACGGCTAGTCTAATATATAAAGCTCAATTCTGTATGTAAAAATAAATATGTTTGTCGTTGACATACTTCCATGGATTTAAGTGTTAGACTATTTACCGTAGTCACAGTCTAAATTTATAAGTTAAAAAATTACTGTTGAAAGTGTTGGGAAATAATTTTCATTTTTCAAACTGATAGTAATAATTGTCGGCATGTTCATTAAACACAATTTTAAAAAAATAACAAAAATTCTAATTATGTCTGAAAATTATTTATATTTAGTCCTTTAGCACTTACTTCCCTTTGATAAATTAGGAAAACACAATTACTTCCCTTTATAAAACATTGCATTAGTGGAAAAGAATTTACTTTGTATTACTTTGTTTTGGTGTTGGGGAAAAAAATAATTACATAATTAGCGGGGATTGACCACGTGCAAATGTTGTAGGTATTATACGAATAAGCTTGGAGTATTATAATTGTTCATTTGGTTTGGTTTGGCAGCTACGTTCGTTTAAGTCAGTGCAAAAAGACTATGAATAAGTTGGGGTAATATAGTCGATTATCAAGCTGTTTTCGTTTGTGTTTTTTTCTTTGGGTTTGTGTTTGTATTTGTGTTTGTGGTTGGTTTTGCGTTTGGATTTGGTTTGTTTTCGTTTGCTTTTTCGTTTGTGTTTTTTTCTTTGGGTTTGTGTTTTTGGTTGGTTTTGCGTTTGGATTTGTTTGTTTTCGTTTGCTTTTTCGTTTGTTTTTTTCTTTGTGTTCGTATGGTGTTTGTGGTTGTGGTTGGGTTTGTTGTTAGGTTTTTGTTTTCGTTTGTATTTGTAATTGTGTTAGCGTTATGTTTGCGTTTTGTTGTTTTGGTTGGTTGTGGTTTGGGTGGGCAATGCCGGGTTTATGATGATTACTAAACACACAGGTAATGGTCTTTAACAGAAAGGTTTTTCACAGAAGCCAGAGCAGGGCCTGGCCGGGACGGCTAGTAAAATTATATAACTTATATAAAAGAGAGTGCAGCTTAATAATAACATAAAATACCCTTGCGTAGGAGTGGGTGAAGTTTTATGGGCAAATGTTCACAAATGATGAAGGGTTGAGCGCGACAGAGGATTCATGGCAAAGGAATGCTTGTAAAAATGTACTCACCATCACACGTGTAAGCTATTTCTGATATCCTGTGCAGCTTATGACACACCGGATCATCTGCAGAAACAATGATCACATTTTTTTAAAGTGTCATCCCCATGGGTGTCAATCAAAATAAGTTAGTAATTTTGTGAAGTCTAGTTATGGACAAACAATTACAATTGTAAAGATAATTTTGTAAAGTCTAGTTTATGGTCAAACAATTACAATTGTAAAGATAATTTTGTGAAGTCTAGTTTATGGACAAACAATTACAATATAAGTTAGTAATTTTGTGAAGTCTAGTTATGGACAAACAATTACAATTGTAAAGATAATTTTGTGAAGTCTAGTTTATGGACAAACAATTACAATTGTAAAGATAATTTTGTAAAGTCTAGTTATGGACAAACAATTACAATTGTAAAGATAATTTTGTGAAGTCTAGTTTATGGTCAAACAATTACAATTGTAAAGATAATTTTGTGAAGTCTAGTTTATGGACAAACAATTACAATTGTAAAGATAATTTTGTGAAGTCTAGTTTATGGACAAACAATTACAATTGTAAAGATAATTTTGTAAAGTCTAGTTATGGACAAACAATTACAATTGTAAAGATAATTTTGTGAAGTCTAGTTTATGGTCAAACAATTACAATTGTAAAGATAATTTTGTGAAGTCTAGTTATGGACAAACAATTACAATTGTAAAGATAATTTTGTGAAGTCTAGTTTATGGACAAACAATTACAATTGTAAAGATAATTTTGTGAAGTCTAGTTTATGGACAAACAATTACAATTGTAAAGATAATTTTGTGAAGTCAAGTCAGTTTAAAAAATGATAAGTGTATGTACACAGATTAAGGTTGCTGCAAAATCAAGTTCTCAGATTTTAATGCTAGTAGCTGATGTTAAGTCTGGCATAACCTATGACAGTTGATGGTAAAGACAGGCATAGCTAAAGGCAGCTGATGTTAAAGACAGACATAGCTAAAGACAGCTGATGTTAAAGACAGACATAGCTAAAAATAGCTGATGTTAAGACATAGCTGATGGTAAGACAGGCTTGAAATGACATCAGATGTTAAGACAGGCTTGAAATGACAGCTGTTCCAGACTTCTAGTATAACAAGTTCTTACCGTCTAGATCTGAGATCTCAGTGAGAAAAAGGCCCAGTATCCCGCGTAAGAGGGCCTTACCCAGGAGCGGCCAGGTCAAGGGGAGGGCGGGGTAGTTGATGAACTGAATGGCCAGGGACATGGAGAACAGCAGGAAGGCCCAGAGTGTGAACCAGACCGGTACGTCCGTCCTGGTCTGTGGGTGGGGACGGAATGCAAGAGGGTAGGTTGAATGTCATAGTTACTTCACAGTCAGACAAAATATGAGAGATAAGCAGGGTCGGCGCTACCTTTAAGGCGAACTAGGCGGTCGCCTAGGGCGCTATTCATAGAGGGGCGCTAAAATGGGTAATTGCTATTATTAAAAAGTACATAATAATTAATAACTTTGATTAAATTACATAAACTAAAGGGTAATCTCCAAAGGCGTAGCGATCTATTTCGGTACCCAGGACGAACTATCAATTTTGCGCCCCTTTTCAAATAAGCCTATATTTAGTTATTCAAGTTATCTTCCCTCCCCCCACCTCCCTCATTTGGAAAGGTCGGGGCGCTTTTTACCATATGACATATTATGTTATAATTACTTCACAGTGAGATAAAAAAATCTGTGAGAGATAAGGCTGCTATGTGTCATGTCATAGCCACTACACGGTAGCCAGTAGCTGATGAAGATATGCTAACTAGGAGTGGCTAGCTAAAACTTTGACGTAAAGTTGGCAAACATTACCTAGATATAAACTTATCAAATTGGCGATGTTTACCAACATTACCTAGCTTCAGAGGCGTAGCGAGGGCGGGGCGGGAGATGCGGAACGCATCGGGTGACACCATTTAGGAGGGTGACACCATGGCAAAAAATTGCAAAATGTACAGAAGTAGAATGCTTTTTGCCAGTTGCATTAATGATTAATTATGCGACATATATTGAAATTATAAGCCTATGTAGGCCGACACACACATATGTACACACACACACACACCTATATATATATATATATATATATATATATATATATATATATATATATATATATATCTTTGCGGGGGGGGGGGGGGGGGAGGGGGTCTGACACCATGAAGGGCCGCACCGGGTGACACCTGACCTATCGACGCCACTGCCTAGATTTAAAGTTACCAAGTTCGTGATGTTGACCAACATTTTCTAGATTTAAACTTACCAAGTTCGTGATGTTGACCAACATTTCCTAGATTTAAACTTACCAAGTTCGTGATGTTGACCAACATTTCCTAGATTTAAACTTACCAAGTTAGTGATGTTGACCAACATTTCCTAGATTTAAACTTACCAAGTTAGTGATGTTGACCAACATTTCCTAGATTTAAACTTACCAAGTTAGTGATGTTGACCAACATTTCCTAGATTTAAAACTTACCAAGTTCGTGATGTTGACCAACATTTCCTAGATTTAAACTTACCAAGTTCGTGATGTTGACCAACATTTCCTAGATTTAAAACTTACCAAGTTCGTGATGTTGACAAGCATTGGCCCTAGCTCCTGACTGACAGGCAGAAGGTACCTGAGGGCCCTGAAATACATGAACAGCATGCCCAGGGCCATGTGGAACTTGTAGGCGACGAAGTTGGTCTTGTAGACACGGTCAGGCAGCAGATCGTGGACTTGCAGGATTTGGTGGAGCGTGACGCAACAGATCAGCAGCTCCACCGTGATGTCCATCAGAGGCCAAAATAAATCGTACGTCGGAAATTTCTGATCAAAATAAATCGTACGTTGGAAATTTCTGATCAAAATAAATCGTACGTCGGAAATTTCTGATCAAATAAATCGTACGTCGGAAATTTCTAAATAAAATAAATTGTACGTGTGAAATTTCTGCTCAAAATAAGTCGTACATCGGACATTTTTGCTCAAAATTAATCGTACTTCGGAAAATTCAGCTTATAATAAATCGTACTTCGGAAATTTCTGATCAAAGTAAGTCGTACATCGGACATTTTTGCTCAAAATTAATCGTGTGTAACACATATGGTTACCAGCCAAAGGGGTATAAAACTATGAAGTTTTTATTCATTGGGTTGCGGCCCCTGTGGGACTGCAACTGAACTGTTGACGTTTTTTTATGCTTTTGTGAGCGAAATTACTTGTGTTCCATGTCATGTGACATGTGCCTAGTCGTGTCGCACACGCAAGGCTGCTGTCTGTGGACCAAGATGTAGACCTAATGAAGGTAGTGTAGATATATAAATTATGTTTGTTTAAATACTTATGTATTCCTGCTAGTGCTGCATGTGCACACTAGTTAGGGTGATGTATTAAATTAAGTATTTATTTTGTAGTACTACTTATTGGTACTTGTTGGCAGTACTGTGTACTGGCCGAAAACATAATTTATTGTACCCGTGTATATTGTAGCTTACACGTGGTGTTGTCCTGAATGTAACTTTTTTATTTTACATTTGTTTTAGGGCTACAGTTTCTGTTTCTATTTTGATCTTTTGATCTTTTGATCTTTTGGTCTTTTGAATTGTTTGGATCTTATGGTTTATCTTGGCTAGTTCGTTTTGTACTACTGTGTTGCATCGCCGGCATGGCTCGATGCTATAAATAAACGAGTACTTGACAACAACTGTCGGCGTCGGTGTGTACTTAATCTCAGGGTCAGCCCGTCTTAACCACAACACCTCAGTGGGTAAAAGCATCCCCACTGAGTGAGGGTTACACGTACTTCGGAAAATTCAGCTTATAATAAATCGTACTTCGGAAATTTCTGATGAAAGTAAATCGTACATCGAAAATTTTTGCTCCAAATAAATCGTACGTCACAAACTTTAGCACAAGTTGCAAAATCTGTGCATATCTAAAGCAAGAACTGACATAAGACTAAATATATCTAAAACACAAAAATATTTCTACTTTAATAGTTAACACATAAGCTTATAGTAGACCACAGACATATAGTTTGGATTCGAACCGATTGCTTTAAGCAGGACATCTATCTATATACTACTAAAACTCAACTTTGTTTACATGTTTGAATATTTATTTGTTTGCCTGATCGAAAATTGTGATATGTTCGACTCTATCTGGAGAGCTGTAAAATAGTATGTAGGTAGAGAATAATTTTTTAATGCAGACAGACTGTTAATCACAAATTTATTTAAAGACGTTAATTAATTTATTGATTTATTCATAGTTAAATTAACCGTATTTTTTTAAAAATGTTAATACTTTGAATAAACTTTGTGGGGATAGTGACGTCCCTTGATGTGTTTACTTTTTGGTTCAATAAAAATGGCGGACCCCATCATAGACTTTGTGGCCCATTCAAAAGTTTAACGCGTTACAAAGCTAATTTTCTGCCGGCTATAACTTAAACAATACGTCCGTTTGCTGTATTTATTACGTTCCAACACTTATATCAATTTTCAACTGTCTTTTTCATTTAGTTTTACGATAAATTTCTCTAGATCTAAAGATCAGATGTCGAAGGAAAGTTATGAATCTAGCTAGCCTAGATCTAGCCTAGATCTAGGTCACTACTAGACTTAATGTAAATTCTACATCTAGAATCTATTTCAGGCCTTAATACATCTAGAATCCATTTCAGGCCTTAATTATTTTATATAAATCTTTGTTTGGCTAATTTAAGATTAAATTTAACTAGACTTAGATCTAGATCTATGCGCGGAGACTCAAAAGTATAGTATAAAAATTCATTTGTGACGTCACGAGTGAATAGCTAAGTTGGTAGCGTAGCCCGCTCTCATGTGGGTGGCACAGGTTCTAGACCAATATGTCAATGATATTTTTTTTCAATTTTTTTTTTTTAGATGTGAATGATAAAGTTGCCTATCTGAACTTGGCAGGATACAGGGCAGGTGAAGTAGAGTTCATCTGTTTCTTTGTCCTAAGCATATGAAAAGATAGTGTGGTCAAAGACATGCTCGGCTGGAATCGTTTTTTAAACGATAAAAACATGTTGTCTGAGACTTGGCGGGACACTGGGCAGGTGAAGTAGAGTTGAGTAGGTCACATGTGACGTCAGTATATGAAGGGATAGTCCGAAATCGGTGTTTTCGGTGTTTTTAAAAGATAAGAAACATATTTTTGAATGTGGGGTCTGTTTTTTGTGACGATAAGTGACACTGCAGTAGCGTAGCGAGGAGGGGGGGGGGGGGAAGGGGAGGCGGGGGGAGGTGGAGGGGGGAAGGGGGGGCGGGGGGAGGTGGAGGGGGGAAGGGGGGGGCGGGGGGACATATGTTGGGGCGCCAAAATGGTTTGGAAAAATAAATTGAAAGGTTGAGGGGGGTTCAAATCGAAAGTTTGAGTGGGGGGGGGGGTGCACATCAAAAGTTTGAGGGGGGGGGGGGTTGAAAATCGAAATCTTGGGGGGGGGGGGGGGGTTAAAATCGAAAAGTTTGTCCCCGGGCGCCGGGAAGGGTCGCTATGCCTCTGAGTGACAGACGTGATGTTTTTTTATGGATGACCCCCGAAACCCAGTTATCCAACGGATGACGGGTATTCTAGTATACTACTAAAAGTCAACTTTGTTTACATGTTTGAATATTTATTTGTTTGCCTGATCGAAAATTGTGATATGTTCGACTCTATCTGGAAAGCTGTAAAATGGTATGCAGGTAGAGAATAATTTTTTAATGCAGACAGACTGTTGATCACAAATTTATTTAAAGACGTTAATTAATTTATTGATTTATTCCTACGCAGAATAACCCATTTTTTTTTAAAATGTTAGAACCTTGACTAAACTTTGTGGGAATAGTGACGTCACAGGTTTTTGTTTACTCTTTAGTACAATAAAATGGCGGCGTCTATTGAAGAAAATTGTGTTCCCATTCAAAAGTTTAACGCGTTCTAAATCTAATTTTCTGTCGGTCATAACTTTAACAATACGTCCGTTTGCTGTATTTATTACGTTCCAACACTTATATCAATTTTCAACTGTCTTTTTCATTTAGTTTTACGATAAATTTCTCTAGATCTAAAGATCAGCTATCGAAGGAAATTTATGAATCTAGCCTAGATCTAGATCTAGCCTAGATGTAGGTCACTAGATTCAATGTAAATTCTACATCTAGAATCTATTTCAGGCCTTAATTATTTTATATAAATCTTTGTTTGGCTTATTTAAGATAAAATTTAATTTGAAAGTTAGTACTACTAGACTTATTTTTAGATCTAGATCTAGAATCTATACGCGTAAATCAAGTTGCATAAGGAGACACATAGTATAGTATAAAAATACACTTGTGACGTCACGAGTAAATAGCTAAAATGGTAGCGTAGTCAGCTCTCATGCAGGAGGCACGGGTTCTAGACCAATATGTCAATGAAATTTTTTTTTTCAATTTTTTTTTTAGATGTGAATGATAACGTTGCCTATCTGAACTTGGCAAGATACAGGGCAGGTGAAGTAGAGTTCATCTGTTTCTTTGTCCTAAGCATATGAAAGGATAGTGTGGTCAGATACATGCTCGGCTGGAATTGTTTTTTAAACGATAAAAACATGTTGTCTGAGACTTGGCAGGACACTGGGCAGGTGAAGTAGAGTTGAGTAGGTCACCTGTGACGTCAGTTTATGAAGGGATAGTCCGAAATCGGTGTTTTCGGTGTTTTTAAAAGATAAAAAACATATATTTGAATGTGGGGTCTGTTTTTTGTGACGATAAGTGACACTGCAGTAGCGTACCGAGGAGGGGGGGGGGGGGGACGGTAGGGGAGGGGAGGCGGGGGGTGGGGAGGGGAGGCGGGGGGTGGGGAGGGGAGGCGGGGGGGGGGAAGGGGGGGGTGGGGAGGTGGAGGGGGGAAGGGGGGGGGACATATGTTGGGGCGCCAAAATGGTTTGGAAAAATAAATTGATAGGTTGAGGGGGGTTCAAATCGAAAGTTTGAGTGGGGGGGGGGGGGGGTGCACATCAAAAGTTTGAGGGGGGGGGGTTCAAATCGAAAACTTTGTCCCCGGGCGCCGGGAAGGGTCGCTATGCCTCTGAGTGACAGACGTGATGTTTTTTGATGGATGACCCCCGAAACCCACAGTTATCCAACGGATGACGGGTATTCTAGTAGATATCTAAAAGGAGGCTTTTAACATTGACTTAATTTTCTGGAAATTTAAACTGAAGGTAAATAAACCGGGAGTGATCTCCCCTAAACTTTCTCGAATATTTTTATATAAAATAACAGGGGATGGAAACTCGGGCTATAGACATGATTTTTAATCCATTTTAAATACTTAAAGTTTTAAAAATATAATAAAATCTCGTAGACAAAAGAATTGCACACCAAGTGAACGCTAAATAAAAAAAGTGCATAATAGTGCGCAATATTATAAGTACTTTAAAAATTTACATTAGTTTTTTGAGAAATCGGAAGTAGCGTAAATTACTACTTCCAGTCAACGGAAATGACTCAAAATTTAATAGAAGGTAGAGAATTAGATCTTTTACTTACATGTGAAATTTCGTTTATCTATCTGAAATAGTACTCAAGTTATAGGCTTTTGAAAATTTCAAAGTAGGAAAAGTACCACTTCCGGTTATCGGAAATCGCTCAAAAGTTGATACGGATCTACGATTTTGATAAAATACTTATATATGAAATTTCATCAACCTAGCTGTAACGGTACTCAAGTTATCATGTTTACACACACACACACAGACACACAGACATACGGACAAGATTGCAAAATTTATGTTTTTCCGTATCGAGATTTGTAAAAATCTCGATTTTTTTTTTTTGCACGATTACAAGACTTTCTCTATACTTCGTATATACGAGAAAGTAAAAGGTTGAATGAAATCTTCTATAAACACTTGCTGGTCGAATAAAATGTGTAGCTTTTGGAGCTTGACCTAAACTTACAATTTTCGGTCATTCACCTTTCTAATCCCGACTTACCGTACTAACAATGACCCAAAATTCTCGTTAAACTCACCGTCAGCTTGACCTATTAATTAACTAATTGCTCATCATTATTAACTGGACTCACCAGTTTAATCTTAACGATACCGATGATGTGCTCTGTAAGGTTGACTGTGGTCCAGAGCATGAGGGTGATGTTGATTTTCTCATCACCACAGTAGGGAATCATCATAGCATAGGCGAACAGGGCCAGATAGATCAACATAAAGAGCTGGGGAATGGGGAGTAAAGATATATCAACATTACCATCTGGGGAATGGGGAGTTAAGATAGATCAACATAAATAGATGGGGGATAGGGAGTAAAGATAGATCAACATAAATAGCAAGGGAATGGGGAGTAAAGATAGATCAATATGAATGACTGCTTAATGGGGATTAAAGACAGATTATGATATAGAACTGTATTATTTGTATTGAACTAAATGGGCTGTATAAATCAAAGGTGTATTGATCTAAACTAACTTGATTGCAGGTTGATTTAAACTAACTTAATTGCAGGTTGATTTAAACTAACCTGATTGCAGGTTGATCTAAACTAACTTGATTGCAGGTTGATTTAAACTAACCTGATTGTAGGTTGATACAGACTCACCTGTTTGTAGGTGGATCTAATCTAGACTAACCTGATTGTAGGTAGATCTAAACTAACCTGATTGTAGGTAGATCTAAACTAAACTAACCTGATTGTAGGTTGATCTAAACTAACCTGATTGTAGGTTGATCTAGACTAACCTGATTGTAGGTTCATCTAAACTAACCTGATTGTAGGTTGATCTAGACTACCCTGATTGTAGGTTGATCTAAACTAAACTAACCTGATTGTAGGTTGATCTAAACTTACCTGATTGTAGGTTGATCTAGACTAACCTGATTGTAGGTTGATCTAAACTAAACTAACCTGATTATAGGTTGATCTAAACTAACTTGATTGTAGGTTGATCTAAACTAACCTGATTGTAGGTTGATCTAAACTAACCTGATTGTAGGTTGATCTAGACTAACCTGATTGTAGGTTGATCTAAACTAACCTGATTGTAGGTTGATCTAAACTAACCTGATTGTAGGTTGATCTAGACTAACCTGATTGTAGGTTTATCTAATTTAAACTGATTGTAGGTTTATCTAATTTAAAGTGATTATAGGTTGATCTAAACTAAACTAACCTGATTGTAGGTTTATCTAATTTAAACTGATTGTAGGTTGATCTAGACTAACCTGAATGTAGGTTTATCTAATTTAAACTGATTGTAGGATGATCTAGACTAACCCGATTGTAGGTTTATCTAGACTAACCTGATTGTAGGTTGATCTAAACTAACCTGAATGTAGGTTGATCTAAACTAACCTGAATGTAGGTTGAACTAAACTAACCTGAATGTAGGTTGATCTAAACTAACCTGATTGTAGGTTGATCTAAACTAAACTAACCTGATTGTAGGTTGATCTAGACTAACCTGATTGTAGGTTGATCTAGACTAACCTGATTGTAGGTTGATCTAGACTAACCTGATTGTAGGTTGATCTAGACTAACCTGATTGTAGGTTGATCTAGACTAACCTGATTGTAGGTTGATCTAGACTAACCTGATTGTAGGTTGATCTAGACTAACCTGATTGTAGGTTGATCTAGACTAACCTGATTGTAGGCTGAACTAAACTAACCTGATTGAGCCAAAACTTCGAGATGGGTGCTGTCCACAGGAAATAAATCTGCCAGAAAATATTCGGGGTAGCAAAGGGGTCTTCCTCATAGACTGGCGAAGACGGTCGAGACCCATCTTGATTGTAAATCTCGTCTTCAATATCCTACAAGTATTAACCATAATAAGGATATCAATAATTTACAAGTATCAACCATCACCACAATAAGCATCTCAATATCCTACTAGTTTCAACCATAATAAGCAGAGGCGTAGCGACCCTTCCCGGCGCCCGGGGACAAACTTTTCGATTTCCGCCCCCCCCCCCCTCAAACTTTCGATTTGCACCCCCCCCTTGAGATTTCGATTTGCCCCCCCCCCCTCAAACTTTCGATTTGCACCCCCCCACGAGATTTTGATTTGCACCCCCCCCCCCCTCAAACTTTCAATTTGCACCCCCCTCAACCTTTCAATTTATTTTTTCAAAACCCATTTTGGCGCCCCCTAAGCTCGGCGCCCGGGGACATATGTCCCCCCCCCCTCGCTACGCTACTGATAATAAGGATCTAAATGTACTAGAGGTATTCAAGGAATAAACATCACCTTTCTAGCTACACTTTATTATGATGCTGTTTCTGCTGTTTTGTATTGAATATATTTGAACATTGGTAGAGATAAGTTTTATTAAACAAAACAGGAATTTATATAATGGGAAATCTTTGCTTACGGCGGATTGGTTTAAGTTGCTTTCTGCTTTAGTTGAGGCTGGGGTTTCCAGGGCTGTGGAGAGAAAAGTGAGGAACTGACTGCGAGGATGATGTGAAGAGATATTTGGAGGCTTGGAGCATATACGAAACTGATGTGAAGAGATATTTGGAGGCTTAGATCATATACGAAACTGATGTGAAGAGATCTTTGGAGGCTTGGTTCAGATACGAAACTGATGTGAAGAGATATTTGGAGGCTTAGAGCATATACGAAACTGATGTGGAGAGATATTTGGAGGCTTAGATCATATACGAAACTGATGTGAAGAGATATTTGGTGGCTTAGAGCATATACGAAACTGATGTGAAGAGATATTTGGAGGCTTGGATCATACACGAAACTGATGTGAAGAGATATTTGGTGGCTTAGAGCATATACGAAACTGATGTGAAGAGATATTTGGAGGCTTGGATCATACACGAAACTGATGTGAAGAGATATTTGGAGGCTTGGAGCATATACGAAACTGATGTGAAGAGACATTTGGTGGCTTAGAGCATATACGAAACTGATGTGAAGAGATATTTGGAGGCTTGGAGCATATACGAAACTGATGTGAAGAGATATTTGGAGGCTTAGAGCATATACGAAACTGATGTGAAGAGATATTTGGATGCTTAGAGCATATACGAAACTGATGTGAAGAGATATTTGGAGGCTTAGAGCATATACGAAACTGATGTAAAATGATATTTGGAGGCTTGAATCATATACGAAACTGATGTAAAATGATATTTGGAGGCTTGAATCATATACGAAACTGATGTGAAGAGATATTTGGAGGCTTGAATCATATACGAAACTGATGTGAAGAGATATTTGGAGGCTTAGAGCATATACGAAACTGATGTGGAGAGATATTTGGAGGCTTAGATCATATACGAAACTGATGTGAAGAGATATTTGGTGGCTTAGAGCATATACGAAACTGATGTGAAGAGATATTTGGAGGCTTGGATCATACACGAAACTGATGTGAAGAGATATTTGGTGGCTTAGATCATATACGATACTGATGTGAAGAGATATTTGGAGGCTTGGATCATACACGAAACTGATGTGAAGAGATATTTGGAGGCTTGGATCATACACGAAACTGATGTGAAGAGATATTTGGAGGCTTGGAGCATATACAAAACTGATGTGAAGAGATATTTGGTGGCTTAGAGCATATACGAAACTGATGTGAAGAGATATTTGAAGGCTTGGAGCATATACGAAACTGATGTGAAGAGATATTTGGAGGCTTAGAGCATATACGAAACTGATGTGAAGAGATATTTGGAGGCTTAGAGCATATACGAAACTGATGTGAAGAGATATTTGGAGGCTTAGAGCATATACGAAACTGATGTAAAATGATATTTGGAGGCTTGAATCATATACGAAACTGATGTAAAATGATATTTGGAGGCTTGAATCATATACGAAACTGATGTGAAGAGATATTTGGAGGCTTGAATCATATACGAAACTGATGTGAAGAGATATTTGGAGGCTTGAATCATATACGAAACTGATGTGAAGAGATATTTGGAGGCTTGAATCATATACGAAACTGATGTGAAGAGATACTTGGAGGCTTGAATCATATACGAAACTGATGTGAAGAGATATTTGGAGGCTTGAATCATATACGAAACTGATGTGAAGAGATATTTGGAGGCTTAGAGCATATACGATACTGATGTGAAGAGATATTTGGAGGCTTAGAGCATATACGAAACTGATGTGAAGAGATATTTGGAGGCTTAGAGCATATACGAAACTGATGTGAAGAGATATTTGGAGGCTTAGAGCATATACGAAACTGATGTGAAGAGATATTTGGAGGCTTAGAGCATATACGAAACTGATGTGAAGAGATATTTGGAGGCTTGGTTCAGATACGAAACTTACTTTTGAGTTTGTTGACATGGCGCGTCCTGGTGTCAAAGTTCAACCAGAAATACATCGGGAACACAAAAAACAAGCACAGCAGTATCTAAAAATAAATTTAACATTCATTTAAAAGTTGTATTTTCAAATTCTCAGCACATAATTTAAAGTGTTGGTAGTGTTTAGTTTAATAACAAATTGTTGTACAGCTGTGAGTTTTTCAACCCAGGATGAAAGAGCCTTGACCTTCATGAACTCTGGTATACTGATGGGGAACCTCCCAAAAGACTTGACGATGATGTTCCCCAGCCAACGCTCCCTCATAGACCTCTGGCAGCACGGGTGGGCGATGAAGAAGATGTTGTTGCCGATCAGAGCCAGGTCGACCACGTTCATGTGGTTGAAATCGTCCAGGGGGTTGACCAGAGCGTGGAAGCCAAGCAGGGCCGAGTCGCTGTAGGTCAGGTCCATGACGTGGATTGCCAGGGTTCCAAAGTGGCTGGAGCATCAAGAACACACACCTCTTACATTTGGTGGCACTCAAAGGGACGGAGCGTCAAGAACACACATCTCTTACATTTGGCGGAACTCAAAGGGACGGAGCGTCAAGAACACACATCTCTTACATTTGCTGCCACTCAAAGGGACGGAGCGTCAAGAACACACATCTCTTACATTTGGTGCCACTCAAAGGGACGGAGCGTCAAGAACACACATCTCTTACATTTGGTGGAACTCAAAGGGACGGAGCGTCAAGAACACACATCTCTTACATTTGGTGGAACTCAAAGGGACGGAGCGTCAAGAACACACATCTCTTACATTTGCTGCCACTCAAAGGGACGGAGCGTCAAGAACACACATCTCTTACATTTGGTGGAACTCAAAGGGACGGAGCGTCAAGAACACACATCTCTTACATTTGGTGGAACTCAAAGGGACGGAGCGTCAAGAACACACACCTCTTACATTTGGTGCCACTCAAAGGGACGGAGCGTCAAGAACACACATCTCTTACATTTGGTGGAACTCAAAGGGACGGAGCGTCAAGAACACACATCTCTTACATTTGGTGGAACTCAAAGGGACGGAGCGTCAAGAACACACACCTCTTACATTTGGTGCCACTCAAAGGGACGGAGCGTCAAGAACACACATCTCTTACATTTGGTGGAACTCAAAGGGACGGAGCGTCAAGAACACACATCTCTTACATTTGGTGGAACTCAAAGGGACGGAGCGTCAAGAACACACATCTCTTACATTTGCTGCCACTCAAAGGGACGGAGCGTCAAGAACACACATCTCTTACATTTGGTGGAACTCAAACGGACGGAGCGTCAAGAACACACATCTCTTACATTTGGTGCCACTCAAAGGGACGGAGCGTCAAGAACACACATCTCTTACATTTGGTGCCACTCAAAGGGACGGAGCGTCAAGAACACACATCTCTTACATTTGGTGGAACTCAAACGGACGGAGCGTCAAGAACACACATCTCTTACATTTGGTGGAACTCAAACGGACAGAAAGGTAATGTTGGACTGACACAACAACAATTAATGTTGGACACGACAACAATTAATGTTGGACACGACAACAATTAATGTTGGACACGACAACAATTAATGTTGGACTGACACGACAACAATTAATGTTGGACTGACGCGACAACAATTAATGTTGGACTGACACGACAACAATTAATGTTGGACTGACAGGACAACAATTGACAACGGACAAACTAACAAAAAATTAACTATGAACAGACAAAGAATTAACTAAGGACTTTGACAACAGAGAATAAAAATTAGGACTGGAATAAATTAAAAAATGGACAGACAGACAATGAGACATTGACTAATAGAGAATAAAAAAATGGTCTAACAGAATAAAAGATGATCTGTCATAAGATAAAAGATGGTCTGACAGAATAAAAGACAGACTGACAGACAAAGGACTCACACAGCCGAGTCCTTGACAGCCTTTGAGAGCCGGACATCCGTGATCCAGAGCTTGTGGAGACGGTAGAACATGTTGGAGATGACCAGCGCCACAGCGATGGGCTCAGAGCTCTGCTGCCACAGGACCTTGCACAGTGCGTGACGATTGTTTAGGACGGCCCAGTAGATGAGGGCCATTAGGGCCTAGGTAAGATGAGGGCCATTAGGGCCTAGGTAAGATAAGGGCCATTAGGGCCTAGGTAGGATGAGGGCCATTAGAGCCTAGGTAAGATGAGGGCCATTAGAGCCTAGGTAAGATGAGGGCCATTAGAGCCTAGATAAGAAGGGCCATTAGAGCCTAGGTAAGATGAGGGCCATTAGGGCCTAGGTAAGATGAGGGCCATTAGAGCCTAGGTAAGATGAGGGCCAGGTAAGATGAAGGCCATTAGGGCCTAGGTAAGATGAGGGCCATTAGGGCCTAGGTAAGATGAGGGCCATTAGAGCCTAGGTAAGATGAGGGCCATTAGAGCCTAGGTAAGATGAGGGCCATTAGAGCCTAGGTAAGATGAGGGCCATTAGAGCCTAGATAAGAAGGGCCATTAGAGCCTAGGTAAGATGAGGGCCATTAGGGCCTAGGTAAGATGAGGGCCATTAGAGCCTAGGTAAGATGAGGGCCATTAGAGCCTAGATAAGAAGGGCCATTAGAGCTTAGGTAAGATGAGGGCCATTAGGGCCTAGGTAAGATGAGGGCCGTTAGGGCCAAGGTGAGGGCCATTAGAGCTTAGGTAAGATGAGGGCCATTAGGGCCTAGGTAAGATGAGGGCCATTAGAGCCTAGGTAAGATGAGGGCCATTAGGGCCTAGGTAAGATAAGGGCCATTAGGGCCTAGGTAAGATGAGGGCCATTAGAGCCTAGGTAAGATGAGGGCCATTAGAGCTTAGGTAAGATGAGGGCCATTAGGGCCTAGGTAAGATGAGAGCCTTAGAGCCTAGGTAAGATGAGGGCCATTAGGGCCTAGGTAAGATAAGGGCCATTAGGGCCTAGGTAAGATGAGAGCCTTAGAGCCTAGGTAAGATGAGGGCTATTAGGGCCTAGGTAAGATGAGGGCCATTAGAGCCTAGGTAAGATGAGGGCCATTAGAGCCTAGGTAAGATGAGGGCCATTAGGGCCTAGGTAAGATGAGGGCCATTAGAGCCTAGGTAAGATGAGAGCCTTAGAGCCTAGGTAAGATGAGGGCTATTAGGGCCTAGGTAAGATGAGAGCCTTAGAGCCTAGGTAAGATGAGGGCTATTAGAACCTAAGTCATAGACGGCTATGTGAGCCTAGGGTGAGGGTTCTAGACGCCTGGGCAATGAGGGTACACACCATGCCCTATTACTAGGATATACAAAGCATCACACAATGTGATGCTAACCTTTCTTTCAGCGGCCTGTATGTCCACTTGTTTGGTCAGCAGCGGCCAGCTCTCCATGTTGCAGGAGCTCATTAGGTTCTTCAAGCCAGTCAGCGTCAACAGCAAGCCGTCAAGTGGGCCGTTGGGCTCGTCAATAAACTCTGTCGACTCCATGTCAAACTGTACATAACACACAAGAATTCTGTCGACTACATGTCAAACTGTACACAACACACACGAATTCTGTCGACTCCATGTCAAACTGTACACAACACACAAGAATTCTGTCGACTCCATGTCAAACTGTACACAAAACACAAGAATTCTGTCGACTCCATGTCAAACTGTACACAACACACAAGCCGTCAAGTGGGCCGTTAGGCTCGTCAATAAATTCTGTCGACTCCATGTCAAACTGTACACAATACACAAGAATTCTGTCGACTCCATGTCAAACTGTACACAATACACAAGAATTCTGTCGACTCCATGTCAAACTGTACACAATACACAAGAATTCTGTCGACTCCATGTCAAACTGTACACAATACACAAGAATTCTGTCGACTCCATGTCAAACTGTACACAATACACAAGAATTCTGTCGACTCCATGTCAAACTGCACACAAGAGCGCCTTTTAACTTTTACACTAACATACCACTACCAAGAAACAACATTAACGCTGCATGACAAAAATTATTAAAATGTCTCTAAATAAAATATCCCAAGATAAAATATCTTAAACTATTAGAAACAATTAGATAAGTAAAATTTTGTAATTTTACTAATTTAGAAAATGTATTTTAGACATACAAGTTTTTAAAATAAATTATGTGTAAATTCGATTTGAATAATTGTTTTTATTACCTTGTAAAGTCTATAACAACTCACTGAATGTAAACATTTTGCCGCATTTGTAAAATAACATTAAAAAGTTTTATATTCTACTCACATAAATGTTTAGTTATATATAATAGTTCATTCTAGGCTGCTTTACTGAATTTAAACAGTCGAAGTTGAGAAAATAGATGGCTAGTAGGCGTTTCGGGCTAATTTAACTGTCTTGTACACCAACCGGGTGACACCAAAATAAAACTGTTCAGGGACAGTGACAAGTAAAAAGAGTCCCTGGTCTTTTCCTATTGGGGAAGGGGTGTTCTTTACCAAAGCCTATAACTATAAATACATGGTGTGTGTGTGTGGGGGGGGGGTATAAATAATTCGTCCGGCCTATGAAATATGAAGCTACGCCTTAGATTGTATCTAATATATTTTGTCGGGTATATGTTGACATAGATAATTTTTCTGATATATCACAGATATTCGGTACCGCAGCTGGCCTACCTAACCCCCCCCCCCCCCGGAGCAGCCTCTCCAGACAAATCTTGGCCTACCTTATCCCCCCGGAGCAACCTCCTAGACAAATCTTGGCCTACCTTACCCCCCCGGAGCAACCTTTCTAGACAAATCTTGGCCTACCTTATCCCCCCGGAGCAACCTTTCTAAACAAATCTTGGCCTACCTTATCCCCCCGGAGCAGCCTCTCTAGACAAATCTTGGCCTACCTTATCCCCCCGGAGCAACCTTTCTAGACAAATCTTGGCCTACCTTATCCCCCCGGAGCAACCTTTCTAAACAAATCTTGGCCTACCTTATCCTCCCGGAGCAACCTTTCTAGACAAATCTTGGCCTACCTTATCCCCCCGGAGCAACTTTTCTAGACAAATCTTGGCCTACCTTATCCCCGGGGCAGCCTCTCTAGACAAATCTTGGCCTACCTTATCCCCCCGGAGCAACCTTTCTAGACAAATCTTGGCCTACCTTATCCCCCCGGAGCAGCCCCTCTAGACAAATCTTGGCCTACCTTATCCCCCCGGAGCAGCCTCTCCAGACAAATCTTGGCCTACCTTATCCCCCCGGAGCAGCCCCTCTAGACAAATCTTGGCCTACCTTATCCCCCCGGAGCAGCCTCTCCAGACAAATCTTGGCCTACCTTATCCCCCCGGAGCAGCCCCTCTAGACAAATCTTGGCCTACCTTACCCCCCCGGAGCAACCTTTCTAAACAAATCTTGGCCTACCTTATCCCCGGAGCAACCTTTCTAAACAAATCTTGGCCTACCTTATCCCCCCGGAGCAACCTTTCTAAACAAATCTTGGCCTACCTTATCCCCCCGGAGCAGCCTTTCTAAACAAATCTTGGAGAAGAAATCATTTTTCTTGGACTTGACGTATAACATAAGCAGACGATGAGGAGATAGGAACCGTTGGAGCGAGAAACCCATGTTTAAAAATAGCTCAACGAATTTTTCTCTGTCTGGAAGGAGTAAGGCCTCTAAGAATAAATCATCCTTGACCTACATAAATGATAAAACATTCCATGTCAAATTCTCATGTGTCGTTCATAGCTTTCGTTAGTGCTTACATTAAAATACACATGACAAATTAAAAGAGTTAAATTTTGTTATTCTAAACAAAAAGGTGACACGAAGGTTTATCCTGAACAAAAAAACATGACAAAGGTGACATGACATTTAACCCTTAACACCAAAAAGAACACAAACGTTTACCCTTAACACCAAAATTTATACAAAAGTTTACTCTTTACATAATAAAAGTTTACCATGACCATCAAAAGTAAGACAAATGTTTACTATGAACACCAAATATAATATCAAAGATTACTATACACACCAAAAGTAATATGAAAGTTTACTATGACCATCAAAAGATGAGACAAAAGTTTACCCTGAGCATCAAAAGTTGAGACGAAAGTTTACCCTGAGCATCAAAAGTTGAGACAAAAGTTTACCCTGAGCATCAAAAGTTGAGACAAAAGTTTACCCTGAGCATCAAAAGGTGAGACAAAAGTTTACCCCGAGCACCAAAAGGTGAGACAAAAGTTTACCCTGAACACCTAAAGTTGAGACAAAAGTTTACCCTGAACACCTAAAGTTGAGACAAAAGTTTACCCTGAACACCAAAAGTTGAGACAAAAGTTTACCCTGAGCATCAAAAGTTGAGACAAAAGTTTACCCTGAACACCTAAAGTTGAGACAAAAGTTTACCCTGAACACCTAAAGTTGAGACAAAAGTTTACCCTGAACACCTAAAGTTGAGACAAAAGTTTACCATGAAGACCTAAAGTTGAGACAAAAGTTTACCATGAAGACCTAAAGTTGAGACTAAAGTTTACTATGAAGACCTAAAGTTGAGACTAAAGTTTACTATGAATACCAAAAGATGAGACAAAAGTTTACCCTGAAGACCGAGTCAATCGTGCTGACCAACTTCTTGGCCGCGAAGTCCGGCTGGTTCCAGTGTAGACACAGCCTGAGGCTCCAGGAGATCTCGTCCCGTGTCTGGTGCCCGTGTGCCCCGCCCTGAGCTGTGGGGGTAGGGGTTTAACTACAGATGGTGGGGGTAGCTGTGGGGGTAGGGGTTTAACTAGATGGTGGGGGGGGGGGGTAGCTGTGGGGGTAGGGGTTTAACTAGAGATGGTGGGGGGTAGCTGTGGGGGTAGGGGTTTAACTAGATGGTGGGGGGTAGCTGTGGGGGTAGGGGTTTAACTAGAGATGGTGGGGGGGGTAGCTGTGGGGGTAGGGGTTTAACTAGAGATGGTGGGGGGGGGGGGGTAGCTGTGGGGGTAGGGGTTTAACTAGATGGTGGATGGGGGGTAGCTGTGGGGGTAGGGGTTTAACTAGATGGTGGGGGGGGGTAGCTGTGGGGGTAGGGGTTTAACTAGAGATGGTGGGGGGTAGCTGTGGGGGTAGGGGTTTAACTACAGATGGTGGGGGGTAGCTGTGGGGGTAGTGGTTTAACTAGATGGTGGGGGGGGTAGCTGTGGGGGTAGTGGTTTAACTAGATGGTGGGGGGTAGCTGTGGGGGTAGGGGTTTAACTAGATGGTGGGGGGGGTAGCTGTGGGGGTAGGGGTTTAACTAGAGATGGTGGGGGGGGGGGTAGCTGTGGGGGTAGGGGTTTAACTAGAGATGGTGGGGGGGTAGCTGTGGGGGTAGGGGTTTAACTAGATGGTGGATGGGGGGTAGCTGTGGGGGTAGGGGTTTAACTAGATGGTGGGGGGGTAGCTGTGGGGGTAGGGGTTGAACTAGATGGTGGGGGGGGGGGTTAGCTGTGGGGGTAGGGGATTAACTAGATGGTGGGGGGGGGGTAGCTGTGGGGGTAGGGGTTTAACTACAGATGGTGGGGGGGGGGTAGCTGTGGGGGTAGGGGTTTAACTAGATGGTGGGGGGGTAGCTGTGGGGGCAGGGGTTTAACTAGATGGTGGGGGGGTAGCTGTGGGGGTAGTGGTTTAACTAGATGGTGGGGGGGGGGTAGCTGTGGGGGTAGGGGTTTAACTAGATGGTGGGGGGGGGTAGCTGTGGGGGTAGGGGTTTAACTAGATGGTGGGGGGGGTAGCTGTGGGGGTAGTGGTTTAACTACAGATGGTGGGGGTAGCTGTGGGGGTAGGGGTTTAACTAGAGATGGTGGGGGGGGGGTAGCTGTGGGGGTAGGGGTTTAACTAGATGGTGGGGGGGGGTAGCTGTGGGGGTAGGGGTTTAACTAGATGGTGGGGGGGGTAGCTGTGGGGGTAGGGGTTTAACTAGAGATGGTGGGGGGGGTAGCTGTGGGGGTAGGGGTTTAACTAGATGGTGGGGGGGTAGCTGTGGGGGTAGGGGTTTAACTAGAGATGGTGGGGGGGGTAGCTGTGGGGGTAGGGGTTTAACTAGATGGTGGGGGGGGGGTAGCTGTGGGGGTAGGGGTTTTACTAGATGGTGGGGGGGGTAGCTGTGGGGGTAGGGGTTTAACTAGAGATGGTGGGGGGGGGGGTAGCTGTGGGGGTAGGGGTTTAACTAGATGGTGGGGGGGGGTAGCTGTGGGGGTAGGGGTTTAACTACAGATGGTGGGGGGGGGGGGTATGGATGGCAGGGATTTAAATAGAGATGATGGATGGGGGTAGCTGTGGGGGAAGGGGTTTAACTAGAGATGGTGGATGGAGGGGGGTAGCTGTGGGGGTAGGGGATTAACTAGAGATGATGGTGTAGAGCTTAGTAGTAGATGGTAGGGATTTAACGAGACTGTGGAGGGGAGAG